CGGTGGGGGGCCGGGCAGGAAGCGGTGGGGGGCCGGGCGAGCCGGTGGGGGGCCGGGCAGGAGGCAGTGGGGGCCTGGACGAAGCGGTGGGGGTCTGGACGAGGCGGTGGGGGGCCGGGCAGGAGGCACCTGCTGCCCGCCTCCGCCCACCATCGCCCGCACCCGGAGGCCGCACGTGAACTCGGCGCCGTGGGGTTGACGCGTGGCCGCTCCACCCGCCCCCGGGGAAGAGGCGCTGTTTGCGAGCTTTCTGCACCCGTTCTGGCCCGTGAATTCCAACTCACAGCGACCCTATAGGACAGAGTAGCGCTGCCCCACAGGGTTTCATAGCGACCCTATGGGACAGAGTAGCGCTGCCCCACAGGGTTTCATAGCGACCCTATAGGACAGGGTAGAACTGCCCCACAGGGTTTCCAAGGCCGTAATCTTTACGGAAGCCGACTGCCACATCTTTCTCCCACAAAGCGGCTGGTGGGTTCGAACCGCCGACCTCTTGGTTAGCAGCCCTGGGCTAACTACTGTGGCGGGAGGGCTTCTCAGAATTCTCTGCAGAACCCCTAAAACCCAGGCCCGAGGACTACCCTGGTCTTTGTGCCTCCTACCACAAGCAGGGCAAAGAATGGCCCCAGGAGCTGAGCAGGAAACTGAGGGAACAATCCTGTGCCCAGCTCCTCCCCTCAGAAAAGGGTGGCTTTCAGGCCTTAGGCCGATTGGGGAGAGGGGGCGGCAGCGGGGGAGGGCGGGCAGGACACAGTTCCTCCATTTCTTCCTTATCCCCAGTATCTTCGCTGCCTCCCATCCCTGCAGTGAACGGCTCAGGCCTGCCCTGATCCTTTAATTCCCGGGATGAGATTTTGTTCGCGAAGAATTTAATTTAACCGCCCCCTCCCCTGCCATTCTATCAAGTCACCTTTGCGCCCTCTGGCGGCCGCCGCTCGCGTACAGAACTGCACGCACCTGTTCTTTTTTTTTTATAAAAGATGCTGCAAACACCCGGGCATAGCTCAACCACCGAGCACAGGTCACCGAGGGCAGCAAGCTTAACAGCGAATTCCTGACGCTCCCCGCCGTGGCTGGCAGCGTCAACTAGGAACAAAAGCAGCCAGGGTTTCTGGATTCCATTTAGTCTGCACCGTTCTGCTCTCAGTGCCTTTGTGTCTGCACTGCCCCGTAGCCCCTCTCAGCTGCCTCTTCTGGTGTCAATCGCCTGGAGCCTCTTCAAATACCTGACACGCAGTAGCTGTGAGCAATGCCTCTGCAAATACTAGACTGCTCCCTGCAGCCCCTGGAATCGAATACTTGGTAGCTCAGCAGCAGCAAAGGCATCAACAGTAGATAACTGTCAGGCCTACAGACTTGGAATTCTCAAGTAGACTGGGAGAGGGGCAGGGGGTGGTTGGTTTTGTTTTTTCTGTCACGTTCAAGTTTTCCTTAGCTTTAGTCTATATTGCAAACCAACCGCTTGGAAACACCCCTCCTTTGTTTGCAGACTAGTTACGTCACCCCAAATAAGTAACTCCTTCCAAGGACGGCAGCACACTATTCTGGCTGTAACCAAGAACGCCAAGGCATCCAACTACAGCGTGTGCTATCCCTATCGAGTGCTCCTGCTGCCAACTTCTCCTTCAGAACTCAAACACTCGGAAACGTCAGAAATAAAGCTGTGACCAAAGGTGTGCAGGCACTGTCTTCATGCAACAATGAGGCAGTCCCTTCAAGACACTTCAATTGCCCCCACCCCATCCAAGAGTTCTCCTCACTCTCCCCCATTCCAACCACTTCTTTCTTCTGACCCTGAGGCAGTCAAGTGGTAGAAATTAGCAAAGCGCCTCCATTACTTTCCGAGAATTTTTGCCAAGATGCATTTTAGTGTGGGCATTGGTCTCTAACCTTCTGTAAAATGAGGATGTGGGCAGATGATCTGTGAGTGGTCAGGGCACTGCTCTCTAACCTTCTGTAAAATGAGGATGTGGGCAGATGATCTGTGAGTGGTCAGGGCACTGCTCTCTAACCTTCTGTAAAATGAGGATGTGGGCAGATGATCTGTGAGTGATCAGGGCACTGCTCACACAAACGTGCTGGGTACAGAGCTAAGTTCATAGTTTCCTGTTAGACACTTACAGGTCATAGCATCTTTTTCCAAATCACGCCTCATCTTATATCTCTAAAGGTTTTTCTAATACTGATTCTTTTGTTTGAATATAGTCTCTACATTACCCTTGAATCCATTATAAGGCTTCATTAAGGTTTAAACAGTCCCAGTCTTTGTTTTTAACCAGTGATCATATAGTTAGCTGACAACCTGCTGCCTTCTTTTCTAGATTGTTCTGGAAAAAGACTGGATAAATTCAGTCTTAATAAGCTATGTTCTTTGCGGGCTTCCATTTCCCAATGCTCAGCTTTGTCCTCTTGGCCCCACCCCTCCTCAGCAGACTCCAAGTCAAATGGGAAAAGCACAGACTGGATCCAGCGTTTGCTCTCCTCTCCATGCACTCAGTGCTATAGGGATGCCCTCCCTCAGTGTCATGGATTGAACTGTGTCCCCCAAAGTATCTGTCGACTTGGCTGGGTCATGATTCCCAGTATTGTAGGATTGTGTAATGTGATGTGATTTCCTTATGTGTTGTAAACTCTATCACTATGATGAGGTTATATATGATCTCAAGTGTTGTAAATTTATCACTGTGATGAGGTTGTACCGATGAGGTTTACAAGATTAGATAGTATCTTAAGCCAATCTCTCTTGAGATATAAAAGAGAGAAGCGAGCAGAAAGACATGGGGACCTCATACCACCAAGAAAGCAGTGCCAGGAGCAAAGCACATCCTATGGACCTAAGGTTCCTGCACTGAGATGCTCCCAGACCAAGGGAAGACTGATGCATCACAAGGACCTTCCAGACCAAGGGAAGACTGAAGACACAGACCTTCCTCCAGAGCCAACAGTCTACTGGACTGAGAATAAACTTCTCTCTGTTAAAGCCATCCACTTGTGGTATTTGTTATAGCAGCACCAGATGACTAAGACAGAATTTGGTACTAAGAGTGGGGTGCTGCTCTAACAGATACCTAAAACGTGGAAGTGGTTTTGAAACTGTGAATGGACAGAGGTGCGGCAGGGGACCAGCAGCAGCAGAGAACCTGCAGTGGCAGAGAAGGGGCAGTGGCAGAGAACCAGCAGCAGCAGAACCAGGAGACCAGAGCGAGACGGCGCTGGAGCTGTCCCACGGAGCCAGAGAGCTGAGCGCCTGTGCGCGGGAGGCTTCCTGGTGGACTGGGGTGCCTCTAGGCACTTAGCAGTGGAGTGAGGCTTGCCAACCCATGGAGCAAGGGAGCTAAGTGCCTGCGCGCAGGAGGCTTCCTGGCGGAATGGGGTGCCTCTGGGTACTTATCGGTGGAGCTAGGCTTGCCGACCCATGGAGCAAGAGAGCTGGGTGCCTGTGTGCAGAAGGC